CGCCAGCGCCCGGGCGCTGCCGGGGGACGGCTGCCGCACCCAGCACCGCACTTTGCACCGCAGGCCAGGAGTCCTTGGAAGGCGTGTTTTTAATGCAACAGAAGTATACATTTCGGTTGGAAAAAGAAAAGAAGTGAGTCACGGAAGAGTGAGCTCTCATGCCACAGGTTTTCTTCTAGCACAGACAACGCCGCGGATCTTAGTTGTGGGATTTCACAAAGTAATGCAGCATTTGTTTTGCAGTTGTTGTGTTCCACCCTTGCCCTTTTAAGGGTCCCTCACATACGGCCACATACTTTGTTAACATGTTTCTCCCTGTTTCCTGGAAATCCAGCGATATGCTCTGCGATCTGCTGCCCACGTCACCGTTAGACAAAGGATCTATTGACTCGAGGCTTTCCTGCTTCCCTTCTCCACAGTGTTTCAGTCCCCAGTAGCACATTTCTCCACTGTACATCATTGCCAGTAAGTGAGTGTCACTAAATATACCTGAAAAAGTAATTTAGATCAAGTACTTTATTATTCTGCTATAAGCAAATACACAACTTGTTAATTTTTTTTTTCAGTAACGCTGGGGGGAAAAAATTGCCAAAAGACTGTGTACGTATATAATTATATAAAGTTCAGAAGAAAATCTGGATCAAGATCATGCTCATTTCTTTGCCCACTTTGGCCCTCCGTAATGTTAAAACCTTTTAAGACTGCCATATAAATATTATTTCTGTAATTTTGTTTGCCAAATTATCTCATAAAATTTCAGTATTTCTTTACAGCCTCTTTAGCGCAGGCATGGCTGCACACACTTACTTTAGAGTATTTCTGTGCCTTCTACAGTTTAAGCCTAAAACATACTGTTTGAGGTCATCTTAACTCAGGTTAACCAGCAGCAGCTTTAGTATTTGAATTCAAAGGCACATGTGTGTCTTTCATGAAAAGAAAAATCCTGCTAAATAAATCCATAGCTTGACTTTGCATTATGGAGCTATATAGCAGCAATGCCACTTTCAGATCAAAAGAAACAAGAAGGTGCTGCATCCTGCTACAGTCAGAGTAGAGCTGTTTTTGAGTGTGCTCAACGTGGATGTCACGTCCTCAGCACCAGCTGTTTTACCTCACAAATCCCCTCCTGCTGTATCACTCTACCTGCATCTCACACATGCAGCCTAAGATCCTCCTGTAAACACTCAGTAAGAATGAAACTTACATAGAGATACATAAAATGGTGACAGAGAATATTTGCCAAATCTAACCAATTCTGCATATAGTTTTTTATGTGTGTGAAGTCTGTAATTGTGTTTGTACCTGTGCTGTCCTACAGCTAAAAGGGAGGACCAGTAACGTGAACCTCTGGCACCCTCTGCAGTCATATTTGTGCCTTAAATATCTATCAGTTGTGAACTGGATGGTTTTGAAATACTGTGTATAAACACTGCCAGTGTAAAACACTACTGTACATCAGACACTGCCTCAGTTCACCTCCCTCCAGTGCACTCATGAAACAGTGGGAAAATGAGCCCTGGCACCTCCTAGAATTCATCAGTCAAAAAAGAAAGCGGTGGGGTTGCACTGTTGCCTGTTTATTTGCCACATTTATTATCTTCTTGTTCTAAAAAGTGTCAAGTCTTGAATATAAATTAAGTCAAACAATAAAAATATGAAAAAAAAAAGCATTTTATAAAGTGAAGCAGTTATTAAGTGGAGTTAAAAGGTTTTTTGGAGTTGTTTTTTGAGTTTTTTTACCTTCACTGAGTAATCTAGCTGTGTCTTTATCTTGAAGTGAGATGTCTTCATCTAGCTGAAGAGGGCATCTAAAGCTAAGCATCTTCATCAAGTAATGAACTCCATCATTAAGACACTAAGTACAGTTAAAAATAAGGAAAAAAATAAGTTCTCATTAAATTAATGATACACAGAAATACTTCTTCCTATGAAGTCCCCAAAATCCTAACTAAAGAAAAAACAAAACGAAACAAAAAACCCAGCCGTATTTTAAAACTGAAGAGTCAAACTTTAAAGCTGTATTCACAAGCTCATAGAATATTTTCATCTTCTTTACCTTTTTAAATGTGGCAGTGTTTTCTTGTAGCCATTCACTCCTTTCTTTTGCTGTGTGGCAGTACATGTAAAGCAGGGCTCCTTTTCTCCAGTAAAGACATTCTAACAACTCTACACCAAGGATGTTGATGGGCTGAAATAAAATCCAGCAAACTGGTCTAACACAAAAATAAGTCACCTGAACTACTCATATGCACTGTCACACATGCAAACACTGTGTAAATCTCTTACTTCAGATGTTGATAGCAACACTCATTGAGGTAAGACTAGCCTAACCTAACACTGTAGGTCAAACAGAATTGTTAACTGCCTGTGGAATCACAAAACGTTAGCAAGAGAAATTCTGAGCACACAACAAGGCATTTGAAACAATATTTTCAGGAATCACTATTTAAATGCCAAAAAGACTGGAAAATGTTTCAAAATACTTTCAATACTGCCCATCAAAATACTACTGTCCCATTTCAGATTTTTCGTTTTTAAATAATGAAATAATTCACCCTCTGGCTACTCACTTCTTCTTTTATGCTGCATTCCCTCACTAGGTCTTCTGGTTCTGAAAGAACAGAAATAAGTTCTTTTAGCTTTTGCAAGGAAGATTCTTCTGGAAAATCTTCATCCACAAGCTGGTTTTCCTCAAAATATGTAATGTCTAGGACAGCCTATGAAAACAAGAACATATACAAAGTAGAAATACGACCATCAAAATAATCAAAATAACACAGGAAACTCGTTAGTTTATAAAACATTACAATTTGAAGGTATTTTTTAACATTTAGTTCACTAAAGGTGAAAGAAGTATTGAAGATGACTGATGGTGAATGTAAAACCAAACCCCCTTCTGTCCCTAAAATAACAGCACAAACGACTACACGTTATTCAAGCCAAAAAAAGATCTGTACTTCACAGACACTCACCACACTCCCCCAAGTAATAGAGACGCCTTCCGGCCCCACCCTCTTTTGCACCAAGCCGTCTCCCACTCCCAACATACATTTTCTTGGAAGGGAGCTTGATGTCCATACCTGGGTGTAGAGCTGAAAAAGCGTGGAAGGATGTTCTTCCTCTTCGTTGCAGAGGTCCATCAACTTGTCCAGATTAGCAGAGCCTTTCGCTAAGAAGGTATCTGAGGAAAGAACACAATGCTCCCTTAGCACATATAAGCACTCAGCAGGAGCCTCGCACACCCTCCTTTTCCACATGGCTTTATCATCCATCCTTGGGGCATCTACAAGAGCGGCTGAATAATACACCACTTAAGCAGGCCATTCATCCTGTCAGACCGCACCTTTCATGATTAAATTAAGGCCATCCGCGGCCAGGCTTTGATGCTCCCAAGCACACATGCCGTTTGCCCCCGCCGCCCCCGTCCC